TAATGGATACTCACTATCTCATGGGAAAAAAAAGATTGCTAAACAATGGGGTAGGTAAACATCATTAATAAAACTTGAGTACTGCTGAATAACAGCTGGAAGAAATGGGAAGAACATATGAAGACAAATCAGGAAGTGGCAATAATCTTTACTTAGAATTATAGAATCATAGAATAGTTAAGGTTGGAAAGGACCTTAAGATCATCTAGTTCCAACCCCCCTGCCATGGGCGGGGACATCTCACACTAAACCATCTCACCCAAGGCTTCGTCCACCCTGCCCTTGACTTGTTCCAACAGTTCCGTGTCCTTTTTATGTTGAGGACAACGGAACTGCACATAATACTCCAAGTGAGGTCTCCCGAGAGCAGAGTAGAAGGGCAGGATCACCTCCTTCGACCTGCTAGTCACGCTCCTTTTGATGCAGCCCAGGATACGGTTGGCTTTCTGGGCTGCAAGCACACACCGCCAGCTCATGTTCATTTTCCCATCGACCAACACCCCAAGTCCTTCTCTGCAGGGCTGCTCTGAATCTCTTCTCTGCCCAGCCTGTAGCTGTGCCTGGGATTGCTCCCACCCAGGTGTAGGACCTTGCACTTGGCATGGTTAAACTTCATGAGGTTGGCATCAGCGCACCTCACAAGCGTGTCCAGGTCCCTCTGGATGGCATTCCTTCCCTCCAGCATATCAACTGAACCACACAGCTTAGTGTCATCGGCAAACTTGCTGAGGGTGCACTCAATCCCGCTGTCTGTGACATTGACAAAGATCTTGAACAAGACTGGTCCCAACACTGAACCCTGAGGGACGCCACTCGTTACTGGTCTCCAGCCGGACATTGAGCCATTGACCACAACTCTTTGCGTGAGGCCATCCAGCCAGTTCTTTATCCACCGAGTGGTCCATCCATCAAATTGATGTCTCTCCAATTCAGAGACAAGGATGTCGTGTGGGACAGTGTCGAACGCTTTGCACAAGTGCAGGTAGATGACATCAACTGCTCTACCCCTGTCCATCAGTTCTGTAGCCCCATCATCGAAGGCCACCAAATCGGTCAGGCAGGATTTCCCCTTAGTGAAGCCATGCTGGCTGTCACCAAGCACCCTGTTGATTTTCATGTGCCTTAGCATGCCTTCCAGGAGAATCTGCTCCAAGATTTTGCCCGGCACAGAGGTGAGACTGACTGGTCTGTAATTCCCTGGGTCATCCATTTTCCCCTTCTTGAAAATGGGGGTTATATTTCCCTTTTTCCAGTTGTTGGGAACTTCACCTTACTGCCATAACTTTTCAAATATGATGGCCAGCGGCTTAGCAACTTCATTTGCCAGCTCCTTCAAGACCCACAGATGGATTTCATCAGGACCCACGGACTTGTGCACGTTCAGATTTTTAAGATGGTGTTGAACCAGATCCTCTCCTACAGTGGGCCCAAGGTCTTCATTCTCACAGTCCCTGCATCTGCCTTTCAAGACATGGGTGGTGTGGTCAGAGCCTTTGCCAGTGAAGACCAAGGCAAAGAAGTCATTAATGAACCTCATCCTTCTCCAAATCCTGTGTAGCTAGTTCTCCTGAGAGCTTCCTGAGGGGGCCTGTGCTGTCCCTAGTCTGTTTTTTATTCACTACGTACCTGTAGAATCTCTTCCTGTTATACTTAATAATCCTAGCCAAGTTTAATTCTAACTGGGCCTTGGCTTTCCTAAACTGGTCCCTAGTTTCCCGGACAACATTCCTGTATTCTTCCCAGGCTGCCTGTCCTTGCTTCCACCTTTTGTAAGCCTCTTTTTTTTCAGTTGAATTTTCTTCAGCAGCTCCTTATCCACCCAAGGAGTTCTCCTGGCCCTCCTGCTGCACTTCCTTCTAGTTGGGATGCAACACTCCTGAGCTTGTAGCAGGTGATCCTTGAATATTAACCAATAGTCTTGGGTCCCCCTGCCCTCTAGGTCTATATCCCATGGAACCTTACTAAGCAGGTTCTTGAAGAGGCCAAAGTCTGCTCTTTTGAAGTCCAGGGCAGTAAGCTTGCTGCACGCTCTTCTCACTGTCCTGGGGATCTCAAGTTCGTCCATCTCGTGATCGTTGCATCCAAGGCTGCCCTGGAGCGTCACATTTCCAACGAGCCCTTCCCTGTTGGTGAGCACAAGGCCAAGCATGGCACCTCTCCTTGTAGGCTCCTCTGTTTCTTGCAGAAGGAAGTTGTCTTCTACACAATTGAAGAACCTTCTGGATTGCTTGTGCCGGGCCGTACCGTCTTCCAACAGACGTCAGGGTGGTTGAAATCCCCCATGAGGACAAGGACCTGTGAACGTGAAGCTGTTCCTATCTGTCTGTAGAGTGCTTCATCTGCAGGTTCTTCTTGATCAGGTGGTTTGTAATAGATTCCCATAGTAATGTCTCCCATAGCTGTTTTCCCTTTAACCCTGACTCCCCAGACAGAATTCCATACTCTCCAGCCTATCCCTAACATAAAGGGCAACTCCCCCTCCCCGCCTGCCGGGCCTGTTTTTCTAAAGAGCCTGACTTTTCCTGAATAATTCTCCTTCTTACTGCTTGTTCATTCTTGAAGGAAAGCTTGACAGCAACGTCTGGAGCCAGGATTAAAGACTGACTACATTATGCTGTTCTCCAGCTAATCGACGCAGTAGAGGACATTATACTCAGTCTCATTCTTTTAGTGTTTGTTCAGGAAATGAAGGAAGTAGGCTAGTGTCAAACATGTAGGGAGTGTTTGGAGACTGGAACACTTTCATGGTTTAAAAAGAGAGTAGCTTTAAGGAAAGTCTTAAAGAAACTCTTTTTTGACCCTGGATTGTAATCTGTGTTAAATCTGTGTCATCAGAAAGCCAGTGCCATGTAGAAAGCATTATTAACCTTTGTAAAACAAGCCAGAATAGCTGCTAAGACTGGAGGTTTAATGATTATTTTTGCAGTGACTTGCCAAATCAAGGTAAACACATTCTTAGAAGTCACAGATGCCATGGTTTTACTTTTGTTAATTGAGCACTTATTTTTATCCTTGTCAAAAGTTGCCATAGACACAGTTACCATGACATTTTGTCCACTTCTGCTCCAGGCAATATAAGGGTTTTCTGTGCTGTTCTTTTGCCATAACAAGAAACTCTGAAAGCCTAGCTGCATTGGACACATTAAGTTGCACCATTTAGTGAGATCCTTTCCTGAATGAGTGGAATCTCTAGCTTTATTTTCCTTACCTTCATCCTCAGTGCAGGAATCCTGTGCTGACTCACAAACACTCATGCCAGTTGGTTTGGGTCTTATGCCTGAGGTAGGGAAGTTGCCCATTTCCAAAGCTTGGGAGATATTTGAGACCAGTGCCTTTAGCAATGCATCTTGTTTTAGAATCATCTGTACACCACTTCATATTTCCATTTTGTTTCTAGCACACCGATTTTACAGCTACCAATTTCCTCTCTGGGTAGCCAAGATATTGCTTATTATGCAAGGAATTGTGGCCAGATTTTATCTTTATCTCTTCCGTGGTAATGGGATAAAACACGCACCATTTTTGACTGAAATTTCAAAGGACATTCACTCTTTTGCAGATTAGCTGTGGTACCAGTAGCATCACAGATTAGCTAGTGCTCCACCCCTGATCCTGTCTCCAGACTACTTTACACAACATGTCAATGCTAGAGCTATTGAAAATATTTGTGAGTAGAAATGTATTACAAAAGGGGTCTGCCTGCCTTTGTGAAGAAGATCTATTCTTCTTCAAAGAAATTTGAGTGATCTTAGGAAACAATAAGATTTTTTATTTTTTTCCTTATTACTGAATAATCATTTATGCTTGGTGGAAACTCACATTTCTGAGATATTATATTCTTTGACCTGCCTCTATATTTAAATATCAAATTCAAAAACTAGGTTCAAGAAGAAAATGTATGTTCAAAACATGACACAGAATTACAGGAGACCAGGAAGGAGCATGCAATGAGTACTAGTGAGTCTTATTTGACACTCTTGTGCTTTTCCAGATGTGGCATGTAGTATGGATTTCTCTTCATTGTTGTATAGTAGCGTCAAGGTATTTTGTTAAGTGTTCTGTGACACAGAAAAAGACATTGTATAACTCGCCTTTAACCATGTGACATGCATATTGTGCATGTAAAGTATGCACTCATAATGGGTCAGGCAACAGTGTGGCATAAAGCTTTCTGGGTTGTAGTTTGAGTTGGACATCTTTTTTTATACTTTAGAAAGATTATTGGTTTAGAAACATTCATTACTATAATGTGCCCGTAAAACTGCTTTAAGAATCATATTAACAAAATGAATGGGGTTATGTTAAAAGATCTGTAGTATGTCAGAAATTTTGTCAAATTTAAATCAGCTTGAATTTTGGGCTTGTTTTCTTTTGTTTCAACTGTTAGGCCTAAATCCTGTTTGCATACATGCATGCATTTTTTTTTTTTTTTTGAGTTCTGCTTTTATAACAATTGAATCATTATACTGCACTCCACATAATTCTAATTAAATATTGATCATTGCTCTTGCCTCACAATTTCATTGTAAAAATACCTTGATTTAATGAATATCAACAGCATCATAATCATTACATAAAATGGAACTTGTTTCGTAAATATACTAATTCATATTTTAAGACAAGCAATGTCCACATGGAAAACTCAGGCAGATGTGAATTTTATTATGTAAATCCCTCACACAGTGTACATCCCTTGATTTGAAATCTAAGGTACTTCAAACGTATTGTGAAGCTGGAGAAATAATACAACAGCTAAAATCTGAAGGTTTAAGATTTCCTCTGCTTCACCCCATTGAGCTTTGTATAATAAGCAATTGTAAGTAATGGAAAATGCCTTTTCACTAGTGTAGTTGATAAAGTAAAAACATTTTCTTGATTAATATTCTCTTGTAGAAATCAGGTACTGCTATGGATTTATGCTACAGATGTGTTTTGGTGCTTGTAATTTCTTTTGTACTAAAGATATAGCTGATAAGGATTTTATTTAATAATGATAATTGTTGTTGAAGGGTTTGGATGTTTAATATTCTTTAGGTATCTCTACTGATGAATCTAAAAAATATGAGAATCTCTGATACTTGACGATGACCTTCAGTGATATTACAGGGATTTATGCAAGTGTTATTCAGGTAAGTGGTGCAAGGAACCTGGCATTTCATTGTTGTCATGTTGATACAGCATATAAAGATAAGGCTTGCGGATGGTGTGTACCATGGGCAACTCTGAATCTAAATTTTCTTTTTGACTGCTAATGATTAACCCAGCTAGTAGATGGCACCCTTTAATATCTATATAAGTCTTATTTCAAAGTATTTTGGAAGCATTTCAATATTCTGGTGTAATTTTTGGGATAGTCAGTTAACTGTCACACCAGTGTAAATTATTAAATTAATGTAAATTATTAAAGTAACAAGCTCTGCACAGGCATCAACTGCAGAACATATTGACTGTATCTATACAAGTTAAACTTGACACTTCCTTGGGCACTGAGATCAGCTGCTAAGAAATGGCACCTGCCTATGATAGCTTCCAGAACAGAGAGTGCATGCAGTCTGTCTGCTGGGAATGGTCCCTGCGATACATTCCATGTCCAGGACTGATTTGGGAGAGTGCTAGCAGGATCCCAGTCTAGAGCTGTACTAAGGTCTAATTTAAAAAAAATGATGGCATAAATTATAGTCTCCCAGTACCAGGAGATGTTCTGCAGCACAGTCTAATATTTTTTTTAAATGTGGCCTTTCCATCCCGATTACTTCTGGATAGATTGCTGGTTTGAGCATGACTTCTAGGATTGTTAGCGAATACATGAAAGGTTTTCTGAAAAGAAAAAAAGAACATGTATGATTCATGAAATTCAGTAACTCATGAGGAGAGAATAGGGTGACATAAAGGAGAAAAAGATCAGTCAGAGCATATGTATCTGGACCTACACAACAAGTATATAAATTCTTGTATATGCGTACCAGAAGAAAAGAGTTCTGTAAATGTAAGGGGAGATGCTCCTCCAGAAAACTTTCTTGTCTTCATGCATTTTAGTAGCTTCATTTGCATCAGAGTGCAGGTCCTGAAGAACAAGTCCATTTTCTGTTGGAGGTTAACTCCTCCACTGCCAATGTCAAATTATTTTCACTTACATGGAATATTCCAAAAATGTGAAGACGTTTTCATGCTCACAGAAGCCTTATGCCTATGAGTTTAGATACTACATGACAAGCCAGTTGAGTTATGCATACTGACTTCCTCAAACAGGGCAAGAAGGACTTAATCCTCATGCATGAACCATCAGTGTCAGAGTTAAAATCTGTTAAACACAGATTTTCCCTGAAAATATTACTTTGCTGTTTTCTCAAAGAGACATCAAAGATCTATTGCGGATGGTTGTCCAACTACTGCAAGGTCTTGAAAGACCATTGAAATCAACAGGAGGTTTAAAGTCTGATGAAATTTCTGACGATCTGTGTGCTACCATCTCCACTGATCTTTTGTGTCAAATGTAAGACATTCACAGCAATTTAAGAGGTGGCACTTTGGAGCTATACATGTTCATTATCTTAGAATGTTTGTTTCCCCCACTCCAGTGTCTTTCTTATAGGGATCTGAACTCTTTAGGTACTATTTTGTATTCCAAGAACTTTAATTGTCTTTTAATTCCTCAGTGGTCATATCCTCAACTATGTTTATGTTTAGCTTTTTTCTTTCCAATGTCATTTCATCAGTGAATAAGATTTGATTGATGCTGGCAGTGAGATTTATTAACTGATTCAGCAACATATTTCTATTTTTCCATTCCTCCCCCCCCCAACCAATTTCTTTTTAATATTTCAAACAGAATAATCCATTGTGAGCTGATCAGAACTTTGATCCTGATCTCATCCCTGATCACTTTGGCACTGATTTAATATAATTCTTGCCTTACCAGGCAGACTAGGATAAAATCTCATGTTCATTCATGTTTGTTAAAAGATGAATGAATAAGACAATCTTTAAAAGCTTTTTAAAGAGCAAAGTGCTGGAACTGCGCTCTCAATCTGCATTCTTTCCTGCTGTTTTATGGGTTGCATTGAAAATGTGCTTTTCAGAGGTCAAATCATTTTTCCAGGTTTCAAAAGGGATGTAAGCCATAAACTAAAAGGATTGTAGGATACGTTCAAGAACTAGTCCATTCCAGCTTCAGACACCCTATTCCCTTGAAAATTGTGACTCATCAAAAACAAGAATTTTGTCTCATTTCTAGAACTGCAGCTAGCCTAACCCATCCATTTGTGGATTTGACTTAGCCATTTATAATAAAATAAAATAACATAAAACCTCAACCCTTCTTGGTTCTGTTAACTCAGGAAAGACAAGTGCAACCTGCTGGAATAGAATATAAATCAAGGAGATCTTACCTTATTGTAACTATGTATAAAGGCTTTGTGACATACCTTCATCTTTTATTCTCTTCTTAAATTAACAGCTAACAGATGTATGAAATTTTCTGATTAGCTGCCTACTGTCATTTTTATGTCAGAAAATATTATAAAAAATTTTTTATGTCAGAAAATATTATAAAAAATAAGCTAAAGAATTCCTTGGAAGCATTCTGAAAAATACACAGTAACAAGGAAGAATACTCGGCATGGTCAAACAAGCATGTCCAGCACGATGGGAAAAGTGCTCATTGAAATACTAGGTCTTGAAAATTGCCTGACTTTCCTGGGGGAGCTCCCACTTTGGTAGTATTCTCAGGTGAGGAAAAGAGACTCGGATTTGTGTTTCATACCTTATCTTCTTAAGTGCCCGTCTGAGTATATCTTTCTAAGCTTATGGCAAAGGATCCTGAGCTTTTGTTGTTAAAATTAAATTAACAGAAGCAGACAGATTAGGTTTAAAATTACCTCTTTATGGACATTAAGCAATGTTAAAGACACAGTGAGATTATGCCAAGTAACATTGTCTTGAGCCTGTCACCTCTGCACAAGCTGTTTTTTCAGCAGACAATCTTGTACAATATATATAGTATGGGGATTTGAATTACAGTGTAACGTAAGATTACATTTGGCACTTGGATTAAGGCCTTTGCTTCCAATTCTCCTTTGGTTTGCTGTAAAAAACTAATAAGTATGTGTCAGATCCTTTTCTCTTTTACAGAGGTTTGTGACAGGGATAAACCATATTCTCCTATTATTCTTGTTAGCTGAAGGCTCAGTGATCAGGTGCTGTACAGTTTCCATCATTTATTCAGCACTGTATTTCCTTCAGTTGTATCTTTGATTTGAAATTACTTTAACATTTGTACTCCACAGAGAAGATTAGAACATTTCCATCTGACTTTCTAAGACTTTCTCTTGAGTACAACAGTACAGCCATGGCATTCTGGAAGAATCTGGAAGAAAATTCAACTGCTAACTCATTAAAGAGGATGGGGTTTTGAGCAACCTGGTCCAGTGGAAGGCGTCACTGCCCATGGCAGGGGGTTTGGAACTAGGTGATCTTTAAGTTCCCTTCCAACCCAAATCACTCTATGATTCTATGAGTCTATGACTTAGGCAGAAAATAGATATCAGAAAGCAGGACCAATTCATGGTCAACTGTTGCTTGAGAGTTGCAATACATATACACAGTTTTATTATTTTTGAACTGTACAGATGCTGAGTCCATTCATTTGTGGGTGCTTAAGAGCACCTTGACCTGGTTGATCAGTGAAGTACCACCTGAATAGAATTTAGAAAGTGTAACAAAGTTAGTTTTCAATGAGCATTAGTTGTCTATAGTGCATAGTCAGCTTCTGAACTAATAATGACAGATTTTGTATGTGATGACTGTAATAACGTAGGCAATTCTAGGGTGGGATTAATCTCATTTTAACTAAACTAAACTGACATAGTTCAGATGAATCATGCCACAAAAGTGTCTCCTTCTCTCCATTAACTGCACAGGGAATCTAAACAAATATCTCAGATGATAACATCAGAAGTTTGTTAAGATGAAACTGATCTTTTCATATTCTTCCCTCTACCTCCCTGGGGAGTAAACATTGGGTGTATTCTCAGAACATGCATAGCAGACTGAAAAGACCGGCTATTGCATAAATGCGGCTAAGGCTGCCACTTGCTTTGAAAGAAAGCTCTAGTTAGTGTCTTTTGTGTCACATTTCATAACAGCCTAGTAGCCATGGTAATCAACAGTGGACATTCAGTTGGTTGAGATAGCTCCAGTGATGCTGTCCTCCTAATGTACTGTGTAATGCAAGATCATTAAGCAAGGTAGAAATGGAGACAGAAGACAGCAAGACTGTGTCATACTGGTGAGAGATACTTGCAGCACTTCTGTGATATAAGATCTCTTTTTCCCTCTCCTGACACCTAATGTATGATATGCCCAATGGTGAATGACTTAAGGTTTTCATGGCTGATGGATTTAATTTTAAATCCATCATTAATTATTTTAAGGGCTAAGCTTGCCAGTTCATCGGTTTTACGTATGCTGAAACAATTGTTTTGCACTACGAAAAACTATAATTGCTCTATTCCTATTATTATTAAGCTTATAAAGGTATTTCAAACCACTGGTGGCATACAGTGAATCACATCTGCTCTTTGTTGTATGATGAAAAATTATTTTTTCCTACTCAAAGCTAAAGCAGGCGATACTTTTAGAATGAAAATGTGAATAATTAAGGATTGAATAATATGATGTTACAGCTTTGGGCTGTCCTACTTGCAGTTAGGAAAGAACTGGTGAACTAGTTTAACTTCATGATGTATGGTATCATCACACATAATAAGGTGTAGTTCTTCTGCTACTGTACATTAACGGAACATTGCTTTGCTCTCTTTTCCCTGAATAATTGCATACTGAAAATAGGATAGCATATAATAACTACTATCATAATGCCAATACAGTTTCCTGAAGTCTTTTTTGTTATCTTGTTGTTTATACATGTTAGTCATTTTGACAAAGAAGTAAATCCCTTAAATGGTTTTATCCTTTCCATAGCTAGTTATTAAATCAATAGATTTTTACAGGCAATGGAGGATTGTTGATCCATGGTTCTGTCTGAAGAAAGCCCATGCAAAATAAACCAAGAAACATCAGAGATGCTTTAAAGGACAGACAAACCCTTACATGTATTGGTTTTAATTTGCTAGTTTAGTTGTTGTTTATCAGTATGATTTTTCATGTAGAAGCAGGTTAAAATGACATACACAGCACTGTAAGGTGCCTATGGATAGGTCAGCATTGATGAGTATAAACTGGTGTCACTCTTTACACCTAGTGGATTGAAAACTCCGCTACCTTATTGCCTGTCTTTGAATACTTTGTTACATGTGATGTTTTCTGCTTTTTGCAACCCTAATTCTGTGTTTGGTTAAAGCTTCTGCATGCCAGTTGTGCTGGCAGGTAGATGGATGTTACCCAGTGTTATTCCTCAGCAATGCCTCTGCTATAAACTAAACTCAATAAGGCTGATCTCAATTTTAGATACCTACATCACAGACATCTACCTTTGAGCCCATCACTATTCATAGGGCACATTGCTGTTTGACTTTAGTTGTCTTCCAGAAGGATGATTTGTACACTTAAAGTGCTTATTTCTACCTGTAGACTGTGTGGGTTTAGGAGCTTCAATAAGGACTTCTGCTTAGTAAAAATTTACTTTTATACGGGTGAATCTTCCTCAGTGGGTTATTACTTAGACCATTCTGGGTGACTTGGGAGGCTCATAGGGGACTGCTGCCAGGAACTGATACCCTAGAAACTGATTACCTAGACAGTGTTAACAGGAAGGAGAAGCGAAGGCTGGATTAAACGTTGAACTTAGTCCAGAAGAGTGACAGACATTAAACATAAAAAATAAAAAAGCTTGTTATTTCCTTCACCAAGACGGCTTCCAGGCTTTTGTCTAACTGGGTCATGTCTATACCAGTAAATAAAGCCATTTCAGGAAAATACTCCTAAATGCAGAAACTTGACTATCTTCATGCAGTTCTCTAATGCAGACCTCTTCATTAAGAAGAGGTCTTGGCATAGTTTTGGCCTGTGCTGACAGTTTTTAGATAAGGGGAGTCACAAGCCAGGGACCCAAACTCCAAAAAAGTTTGGATATGGTTACCTTATTTTGGAGAATAGGCAAGTTTAATGGTGTGGTTGTGAACTATTTCATGCTACTTGCCCTCAGTGACAGAGAATATTTCTGATCATATTTAATTTACTAGTATTGATGCAGCTAAAGTGAATGCATGTATTAGTTCCTGATAAAGTTAAATTGACTGCATTTTTTTAAGCTTTCCAGAAAGTTAACTCCAACTCTTCTGTACTGTAGAATCATTCTGTATTTACTGTCATTAGAATGATGGCATATTTGATTATTCTTCTCATTTGTGTGTCCTTTGGCTGTTACCCAAACTGCCAGTAGCTAGTTTTTCCTGTGCACCTGGAGAAGAGCACGTGTATCTCAAAATGCACACTAATTTGTAAATAAAATAGCATCCCCTGATAGGAAAAACTGTTTGAAAAAAAAACCCCAGTCATGTTGCTATGGCCACACTCAGTTTCTCATGTTATAGCACAAGTTACTTTTTCTGTTACTGTCTGTCATTCTTTTGCACAGGTTGGTTTTGTGTTTTTTTCCTTCACATTTAACCCTTAAAGCCTTCCTTCATCAAAAAGGGAAATGCAGTCCTTTGCAGCCACAAATCTGTCGAAATTCATTACCACTGTATCTACAAAACTGTAACCTCTGGCAGGTTATTTCAACAA